GGAAACCTTTAGATATGGCATACCTAGAGTAGTTTTGAAGTCTCTAGAAAGATTCTGCCAAACACATTTGACAGCACGAATTCGTTCACCCAGTGAGCGAGGCTTTGACTCAGAAAGTAATCACTTTTTTGCCTCTTCCAGCAAAGAACTAATCAATATAAGTCCCAATTATCTATCTGTCACTTGGAGGAATAAAGTGGATGGCTTTGGGGATGATTTGAGGCAAACTTGTTCCAATACCCTTAAAATGCTTGTGAGAAAAGACATTTTAATAATTCTACCATTGGCAATTGAATGCTTGTGTGCTTCTACCATTACCTAACCTGGTCATTTTAATAATTCTACCCTGAGTTGATGTAACAAACAGTTGTATTTCCCCACAGTTTGTATAAATGTTATGTTGATTGGTTCATTGTCTGGAATCGGCATGATGGCTGTGCACGAGAGCAGGCACACAAGCATCGTTTCCTCCTACAAGAGCGCACACGATTATTCTCTGATTCGAAGTCTCGCTCAAATGTGTTTGACGGAATCTTTCTAGGCACTTCAAAACTACTCTGTATATAAAATACCTCTAAAAGTTTATATTTGTATGGCATATTATATATAGTTTTAAATTCTTTAAGTTAACTTGGCTAATAATAAGTTTAGATGTAAAATCTAGATCAAAGTCTGACAACACTGTCCTAAGTAGCAAGTCGCATGCTATTAAAAAAGGAGCATGTCCAATCTAAACGTGCCACGCAGGTCGCACATGGTAAATGCTACATGCCTTGCCCCTTCTGTGTGAAAGGTTTTATATGTTTCTGTATGTTCATTTTCAAGTGGCGTGCCACGTGCCATTCCATGTGCGACGTGCCACCTTGGTGTGAAAACGCCTTAATACAAACTGTGGGGAATGTCTGAATGATGCAACATCATCTCAATACAATAAAATACTCTTAGTGGTAAAATTATATTTTTTTCTCACAAACAATTTCTGGGTTTTAAAAGAATTTTGTCTCACATTATCCCCAAAACCACCCACACTCTTTTTCCAAGTGACAGATAAGTATTTTGACGATGTTGTTCTAAGTAATCACAAAAGAATATTGCCTCACATTATCCCCAAAACCACCCACACTCTTTTTCCAAGTGACAGATAAGTAATTGTCACAAGATTACTTTGGAATTAGAACAACATCGTCAACTTCCGATGATGCTATCTGCCAATTACCACCTGCCACTTGCCACGTGCATTGTGTCACCTTGGTGTGAAAGCGGCCTTACAGCTACAGTACGATGTGCACCACCTCTGAGTTACATTTTTCAGATTATCACGTGCATCCTTGGCCATAGAAGTGCAAAAATAAGCCCGGTTGATTTTCTCAAACACATTAACATTATTAGGTCACACCTAGATCAGTGGTTCTTAACCATTTTAGATTAACGGTTCTGATATAAGCTATGGAACCCCTTCTCTACAAATATTCACATAAGCACACATTTGCATACAATATATAATGTACCTTGTTTATTGAGATTTGATTACCTCGTGCATATATGAGATATACAAAGTGTTATGGAACTTGAAAGTAAACAATCTAAATCAAATGCTAATATAAATGTTAATTTTTTCTTGATCTTCACGAACCACTAAACCAATCCATGGAGCTCAGGTTAAGAACCCATCTTCTAGATGAACATGAAAGTATTCAGCACAAACCAGACTCATTCTCTTTCTTAAGCTTCTTATCTCCTGTTTACGGATTAGATGCAGGTCTTTTTAGAGAATGGGCAACTTGAATTTCATGTAAGAAACATGAATAAACGTGTCACGGAAGAAGAGGAGGAGGAGCATGAGGAACTATCATCCTCCATGACTGATGACGAGTAATCCGTAAATATCACAAATTTATTGGCAATAGCAGTAAGAAAGACCACGACTAGCACACTGTACCAAAGCTGATAAAAACAACAACAACAAAAAAACAACAACAACAATAACGTTAACAGCATGAACTGTTAACGCCAAGTCGCTACTTGAAAGGAAACTTTAGAAGATAATGTTTAAGGTTAGGAAAAGAGTTTATTTTGCATTGGTATATTTCTTTACAAGAATATCACTCACAGTACCCTTGTCAAATTAAAGGGTTTCAGCACACATGCTATATCCAAACCCTATGTGACAATTTTGGGAAAAAGCTAAAGCTTTAAAACACTCAGGTTATTTTTTCTTGTGTTACTTTGATGTTTGGTTTTTGACCACTAAGCCTTGTGAATTTCATGCATATCCAAAACAATATTGTTTGTGGGTGTGAATGTTATATATATATATATATATATATATATATATATATATATATATATATATAAATCTGAACACCAACGTTGCCAGAAAAAAAAAATTCTCAAGGTTGAACAACTAGGAGAAGAATTTCTTCAATTTCATTACAGCACTCAAACGTTTCGGGTTAACTTCACCCATTCTCAGTGAGACATAACTGTAAACAATAATTATTATATGTTGACAATTATATGTACATTTGAGAGTTAACCTTAATTGGAATTTGACAATCTAATGCAAAAATATCAAAATATAGACTGAGTCAAACACCAAATTTCCTCATATTCACATTAACAGTTAAAATAAATTAATATGCTAATACTGATGCTCAATTTTGTTAGTAATACATATGACACAATAAAATATTGACTAGTGAAATCCTTATATCGTAATTACGAAATATCAAAATCATTCAAAATTCTATGTTACATAGCCGAGAATCTTTATACAACTAGTATAATATCATAATTATAGAGTTAAATTGACTATAAACCTTCAAATTCAACATAAGAGAGGACACAAAATGATTTAGACCAAAGCGTCATTCCCAGTGGGAGGCGGTTACAATAAATTTGGAAATAAAATCAAAATTCAAACTTTAATCAGACCTTATTTAAGATTAAATGAACGTATGAAACTTGTACTGTAAAATAACCATAAATTGATTGTTACCAACCAAAAAAGGTAAAGTAAAAAGTTGAAAAGAACGTGCAGCAAAGAGGAACGTACATTCCTCAGCTAAGGCAATGGAGGAGTGGGCCGTTTTCTGCCGAACCCAGAAAGACTAGAAGAAACAAAAGAAAAATGTTGCAGCAAGTAAGGACAAATAAGAAAAAGTATGAACCTCAAATGGTAAACGAATTTATTGTCTCAAAACCGATTTAATAAACATATTATCGGGAATAGATATTTCTTTTGCTATTCCCTATTAAAGTCAGAGATGGGCAGTATCGCGATACATATCGATCGATACTTTTGTATTGGTAGGGATATCGTTTTTGCTACTCAACAACATTATCGTTTCATCGGTATCGTGAGGGTATTTTTCCTCAAAATGTATGGAATAAAATCAAGAAGTCGATACATTTACATAACTCTCTCTCTCTCTTCCTCCCATCCGCCAACCCCTCTCTCTCTCTTTCCTTTCTTCCATCCCTCTTCTCTCTTTCTCTAGCTCTCTCTTGCACACAAACTGTCCCTAACACTCGCACACTCTTCTCCCTCCCTCCCTTCTTCCATTCCTCTCCTCTATGCATCTCGCTCTCTCTCTCACATGCTCTCTCTAACTCCCTCTAACACACACCCGCTCTCTTTTTTGTTCTCTCTCTCACTCCCTTTCTTTCTCTTTATCTCTCTCTCTGTTACTTATTCTCTCTCTCCATCTGTCCGTCTTTCTCTTTATTTATTCATATTTTTTCTCTCACTTATTCACTTCCTCTTTCTCGCTTTACTTGTCTT